TATTTTCTAATATAACATTATCATTAATTTTTAAACATGTCAAATTTTAAAGTAGGCCTATTAAATTGTAATAGTTAGGTATCAATTGTGTGTCTTGGCTGGGAGCAGAGTGTCTGTGCTCTAATGTGATTATATTYGTAGATGTGGTCTTACACAACGAAAATGATATTAGTACATACAGCCTACAAAGGTTCTATCACAAATCTTGTGTTCTTATTGGCTGAATACTAAGTGGTCTATTAGTGATAAACCACTAGAAGCGAAAAGTGTTCATTTTGAAAGCCAAAGCAATGTAAAACAAACATAAATCATTTCAAACTAATTTTGAAATTGTTTGTATTCATTTATTTGACCGAATAAAAGATTTATACTAAATGAATTAAACCCCTTGCCCTCAAGGTCAAGACAAGGTCTCATGGGCTATAAGTCATAGACCATTCAGGCTGTGGGTCTTATATTATCGTTAAGTATAATGTAAGTAACAACAAAATTTTTACAAGAAAGAATTTCTTTTCTTTGCTACAAGTAGGGAAAGAGACAGTAGAGTTCTTTGGCAAGACATTCTTGCTAGCCCCGCAAGCATCGAACTGCAGTTGCAGTTCGACATCAGACGTTTTTCTTTAAACTTTCGACATTTATCAAGGTATCATAACAAAGTTGTCTTTGGAAGATTAAGAGTGACTGTATTAAATTTCATTGATGCTGGGCGTTTTTCGGGGCCTGATAACTATAGCGGTCAGTGGTTAGCGGTAAACATGTAAAGGTCTCTAGTTTCTTCTTTTTCCCTGTTACATTTTATTCATACCCTGAAAAAGCCTGATCAAAGTCAGGGAATGGCCAATTCACAGATAAAACTGGAATTTAAAATTATAGGCCTTGCAGAGGGAGGGAAATCAAAGAATCCAGAGAACATACATAGCAGAGAAAAACTTTCAATATGTTGCGAGAGATCAAACAAACTAATATGTGATGCTAAGTCCAGAAATTAAACCTGAGACCCCAGAGGTGAGAGGTGAGCACACTCTACTGCTACACCACTCTTGATGGCTTTTAGGTGGCAGTATAATATACATATTATGGTCGAGTGGATATAGCATTGGTCTTACGATCCCGTAGTGCCCGGGTTCGAGGCCCGCTGTGGCCACTAGCTGAGACTGTATTTGTCCTTACTTCTGATTAATTCAAATTCATTTTCTTGACCATGCTTGTAGTAGCCAACTGGTTTGCCTTCTTGTCAGTTGGATTCTCAAACCACTTTATGTTTCTACTATTTTCTTCATTTCAGTTTATTCATTCTTGTAAGAGCATTTAGACTTTGTAAAATGCTCCTAATAAAGTATTATTATTATTATCATTGTTATTGTTATTAGTGGTTTTTATTAACCAGCTCAAAAGGGCTTAAAATAACGGCTGGTGAGTCACTAATCATGATCATGTACCCACAAAATTAGTTTTAGCTCAGTCATACCTCATTTCTGGCTACTAAACGTTTGGTCAAGATGACCAACAAGGAATATACAACATTTGACCAGACAAGTTCCAATCCTGGGAGGACTTTATCCAGTTCCAGCCGTTATTTTAAGCCCTGGTCAGTGAAAGAAAATTACGTATTTATTATAGTGTAATAGTCATGCCAGATTAACACTGCAATAAATGAAAGATGTTATGTGTAAATATATTTTCCTAAATATACTGGTCTAATATCTATCTTGCAGGTTTATGAAAATCCAACTATGCAAACTGTCCACAGACAATAATCATAGCTTACGCTTCACAACCCGGAGTAGTCAATCGATAAAAATCGATATCGATTTTGCCAATCAATAAATCGATAACAATCGATACTGCTGATTTGATTGATATCGATTGTATCGATCAATCGTTAAAAATCGAACTTACACTAAATTTTTGTATCGATTTTTATCGATTGATTGATTATATACATATCAATTTTTTCCGATTTATGTCTTGAACAATTTCTATCGATGATCGTACGAGGGCCGTGTGGCTACGGATTTACACCACCGGAAATTACTCTTTCGTAACCATAGCTTGACACAAACTAGGAGTTTGTTATAGTGATCAGTGAACAGACAGCAAAAGTACTTGGATAATTAGCTGCCTGATCTACATATTATTACTTGTGAATTAATAGTTATAAAATCTATTGCACTAGCATCGATATTTTCGAATACTTTCCGTGAAATAAAGCTGATTATRTGATTGTACTCATTGGATCGAATTAAAGCTGTCAAATCTTGATCGATCGATTAAATCGATAAAAATCGAACTCACACCAATTTTTTTTATCGATTTTAAACAATTTCCCATAAAAATCGATACAAATCAGCTGATTTCTATTGATTTTTATCGATATCGATTTTTATCGATTGACTACTCCGGGTTCACAACTGATATCATTGTACTTGAATAAAAGGAATTTAAATATGATAATTAATAATATGCATGTTTATAAGTAAACAAAAAACCAACTAAAATTGTAATAAAGGATACTTGTCTGTAAGAGTACATTTATTTGATACTATAAAACCATCGTGTGTATCAATAAATTTGGGTGGAACAATTGATATCATAGAGAGGGGTACGTTATAAGGTATTGAGGTGGTATTATAGCATAGTAGCACTTGAGGAAGTATAGCTGTAGTGAGCTGAACACCAAATGCATGAAGCGGAAATCTTAGAATAGTTGAAAGAGTTCTAGCAATCGTGTACACATTAGATTTTATGGTTTGCTTCTTTTGGTAGCTATGAGTGCAGTTCGATGTAAAAAAAATCTTACAACCGCTAAAAAGGTAGAACGTAAAATCATGAGGAGAACAAGTGGCAAACACAAATATTCGAAAAATGTGTTGACCAACGAACGAAGGAAACCGGTTTGAAACGCGAACAAAAGTCCACGAAAAGTACAGATATAGGACTATAAAAGATAGAGATGAATTATACTCCTATTTCGATTTTCAATCGACAATATCATGCACCTACAGAAAACTGGAAAGAGATTCTATACTCTTTTAACTTGAACAAACATAAAAACAGCTGTTTGCAGTGAATTGCTTCAACCTTCTAATTCTTGAATACCCTTATGAAGCGCCTTCGCCATCCATAACTCAAAAACAAGTACTATGACGCTAACAGAAAGAGAATATCATAAAAAAAGTCTTACCTTGTAAATACCGGAAAGAATTTAACCACAAGGTAAACGAAGAAAATCAACTTTCGTGACCACAGACAATGCAAAACTGCTCTGAGCAAGCCATACTGTAGAGTGTAGACCAAGACAACGCAATGAGCCTACACCCTTGTAGAATGCTAACAAGCAATGAAGAATTTGCCAATACGTGAGAGAGAAGACTGAGTCCACCATCTTATCAGATCAGGAATATGAAGCCAGAAGATTTAAAAGGAGCCGAGATTTTAGCAATCCTTCTCATAAACTACTTTACTTTTCAAAATATTTGACCCACCTACTCGATCGAGTACCAGGCCTCGCTCGTTCTAATCACGTGAGCTGAAGAAAGCAAGATTTCCGTCCGCGAAAACCCCGCAAACATAATTTACACACTCAAGAAAGAAGTCCAAAATGAATATAAATTTCCTATAAATGATTCTGAAGTCTGTAAACTTTGAGTGCATGGATTTTTTGATTTCTAAAGTATAAAAATATAGCTTTCTTGCATAGGAAGGAATAGGGCTTTTGCAACAACAGGTCACGTGACCATACCTCTTGCAAAAAGAGACTTCGTGTCAAAATGAACACCAGAAATGGAAAGAGCACCTCGATATTAGTAAGAAGGCAAAGTTTCAGTTTAGGACATGTAACAAAGGAGAAATGGTGTGGAATACAAAATCGAATATTTCATAAGGACTTGAATGGGGAAATGTGCTGGATGGCTAACATTTTCCCATACAAATCCTTATAAAATATTCAATTTTATATTCAATGCCATTTCTCCTATGGTCAACATTATGAGCTAAAACTTTGCCTTCTTACGTATATCGATTTCTGGTGTTCATTTTGACACTTTTTACTTGGGGTAGGGTCACGTGACCTGTCGTTGCAAAATTAAAGGCCTATTGTCATGGGGGACAAAATGATGGATTATTTTATTATTATTAATAATATTATTATTTTTATTTATTTATTTTTTTGCTTAAGAAAGGACGGCCTATTGCCCCCAGGAAAATCAATACTAGGGGTTTAGACTTATTAGAGGCGGATCCGGA